AGGTCCATGTGGATGTTCCCCACATCTTTACGAATTTTTCCAACCAATGTTTTTGACCTAGGTGGCGTATACGTATCTTTAGTAGCGTCCTGTAGTAATCGTGAGCACCAAGCAGCATGCTGGTCACCGCTAGTTCAAAGTTTAGTGTTGGCAGATGATGGGAACGCACAGGATTTATGAGAAAAAGATCAGTAGCAACAGGAGTTGCTAAAACAATTATTCCGTAGCCTTATAGGTCTGTTGAAAAACGTCCGGCAAAGGCCCTCCTGTAAATCGTATAAACAAAACCGAAAAATGACTCCAAGGCTCCTCCATATAAGAAGATAGTTGTGGGTTAGCTTGAGATACCTTGATAATGTTCTAAAGATCTTCTAACGAAAGCTATGAGTTTGCCCCGCCCGCAGAAACCGTTATCAACGACATAGGTGGTCATTACGAGCTAAGCGACTCGTGACCGGTCGTAGAGCCCAGTGAGTGCATCTTTTTTGAGCACCCGTTTGAGAATCGTGGTGCTATTTGAGGACTCCTATTTCCAGCGAAGTGGCAATAAACCTATCGGTGCACATAGAGTTCATTGCATTTAAAAATCGTTTATTCTCAAGTCTTCTTCCACTATTTCTGTACAGTTCCTCTTAATTGTTATCAATAGAATATTGTTTCAAATAAGATTTTTTTAAAAAGCAACGATTGACATGAGTTCTTCTGTGGCGACTTTGCAAGTCCTATATGATGCGGGCCAACTGTTTTTCTTTCTTAAGATCAAAGACGACAGAGCTGGTTTTTCCGGCATCAAAGCTGTGCGGAGCTTTATGTAAAACTTTACTTTCTAACCATCGGCTTCCCGAACCACCAACAACGATAACGGCATGTTGAGAAATTGTCGAATTGAGACTAGTCTAGATGCATAATATTTCTCTAATAATAATGATACATTATAATAAAATATATCCAGGCCAAACGGTCATAGTAATGACCGGGAGCCCGGATAGATGGCTCTATTCTTTAGAGCATTATACGCTATGGTAGAATTGACATATCTTCATACTTAAATTCCATTGGTTACACAACGTATGAATAGCGCATGCAATATAAAACCGGATCAAGTTATATTTTAACATACTGCACGCTCGTTGTAAGCATCTTTCATTGTTTGTGATCGTACGGGTGTAGTACCTGCGCACGCCGCACAAAGCGTACATGTATTATGTACGCTTATTATTATTATTAAGTGTCTCACCCAGCCCTTTATAGGCTGTCAGTGCGAAGCTTTCCTATTGTAAAGATATACGTGTGAATCTCGCATCATGTCATGAATAGAATCCATGATTGAACTTCTGGTTTAGACTGAGCTTTTGTTTAACAAAAGGGAGCTTATTAAAGCACGGTAGAACGTGCAGTATGCATACTTTCTTGGTCAGGGCGCATTTGCAAAAGGGTGCGACATGGTCCTTGACCTGGCCGGCAACAAATGTTCTTAAGCATCTTAAAATATAGGAAAAATAGTAACGAACATACTTCTTACCACCTACCTGAAGCCCACTATTAATGGGCAAAAAGTTGGTCTACATTTTCAGGCATAGCGACCAAAGCCCGAACTCCATTAGGAAGCGCGAAACCCGAATCGCTGATCACAGTAGCTGGGGCTCAATTAACGCTTTATAACCATTTCGGTTAAAATCTACCATACCGATGTCGACGTTCGGCTGTGGATCATTTTTATTTAGAGGTGGTATAATCGCCAACTGTTGTAGCCAGCACGTTATAGAGCAAAATTGCCCAGGTTTATCACAATGTTCTAAGCGAAAAAAAGTAAAACACTATTCACCATGGATAAACTATGGACCTGTACGACAGTAATCCCGACAAACACGTAAATCGTTTCAGGATTAGAATATAGCGTTTTTAAGTGGGTTACATAAGCAATAATAGCTTAGGACAAGCACAGAGGGGCTTGTCTTACACAGCGAAACGCGGCGAAAACCCGCTCACCAAATGTTGGTACGACGAAAAGAATGTCTTTTCAATGAAAAGTTTTGATTTCAAAAAATGTTTTATGTTTTGATCTGCCATTAAGTATTGCTTAAGACGATTCGCTATTAGCACGAAACGCAGAGTATCGATCACGCCCCTCTTCGGACCAGATCATTAATTGATACCAAGTTTAGTAGGCAAACGCGATATCACTGCGGACCCAGCTCTGTGCGCGGCTATATCGAAAACATCGCTCACTTCCTATTCGTGATATATCAGTTATGTGTGAGGAGGTGTGCTAGTATCGCAAAACTGTATAAATTGGTATTAATAATCCAGAAAAAGGCGCATCTCTTAATTTCAAGATATGAATTCCAGCACTCAACCGCAGTCATTATTGTTAGAGATTGACCTGTCTTCTAAATATGTATCATTGAAACACTTCCGTAAAGGGTCGAGACATCGCTGAGCGTTAAACCCCGCAACGGCTACATCGGGTGTACTTTGTACGCCCAGAACTTTTTGTACAACTGAATTTGAATTGCTTCACGACTTTCGTCATTTATTGTTGAGTTTGTAAAGGTCCAGGTAGGTTTATCTTTTTTTTTTTTTTTTTCACTAGATTTCTTCAAGTAGTTCCTGCAGCTAACCGCTCGCAAGGTTTCACACAAGCCTCTACCAATGAACTGCCGTTTTGGCCTGTTGACTGCTTATGCGAGTTCGCATCGCCTTCCCGATTCTCCGATAAGTGAGAACGCTTGCATACTTATTTCACAGACACTACATCGATCCTTCTTTCTTTGACTCCTCTCTGTTACCCTGCACAACGTTATGGGGAGGGATGAAAATTTCCTTCAACTACTTGTGAGGCTTCTTACCGACAAGCATCTGAATATATTTTTGAATACTCGCGAAAAGCCGTTTACTCAAATATGTTGGGCTCTGTTCACTCGAGAGTGTTGCGTATCATCCTTAGCAGAGATCATAAAATTCTTTTGAATTTTGTCTTTAAATTTAGAGCTATCGTAGAACAGTTTTCTTACTGGATCATTTTTGTCAAATCAGACTGCTTCACATTCGACAGAAAGTATCTTCAACTAAAAGCTATAGGATAAAAAAAAATAGATATTCCTAAATATAAAATGAATATATAACTGTTTCAGTGAAAATAACGGGCCTATTTTTCACAGCAGGCGCGTCGATTTTTTCATATATAATAATAATAATAATAACAATAATAATGATAAATAGAGCCTTCAGGGCTAATTTGGCAGAGATGAGGCTGTCAATCATATTAGTGACCTGAATCGAAATCGGCACGTTTCGAAAAACAGATAGGCTCAACACTCCATAAATTATCTTGAGTTAGCTAAAATAAATCACAGAAAAAAGAAAGGTGGCTCAGATCCTATCAAACGCAAAGATCGTATTATACTATGAACATCGCACCATCCGCTACGTCAGTGATCTCTCAGTAAATCTGCCGATCCCATCTTTTACCTACCACTTCCTCCCCCCTAGGTAAACAGGTTCGAGGCGGTCACGAATTCCGCATCGATGTTATGGAAATGTATATTATATTTTTAGTACCGGCAGCAGATAAAACGCTAGCACGGGGGCTAAAGATCCAATACAATGACGTTAACAGCGGTTCCGAAAGTAAAACTTGAGGCAACTAAGGTCCCACAAGAACTTCTGATGGATTGGTCGACTGTTCTCGATGGCTGTTTCATTGAAAGTAAAAGATCTAGAAGCTCTCAAAGATCATACTTTATGAGTTAGATTATTTCCTTTTTGGCATTGCTGATTACAAGGAAGAGTTACACTGTTTCGGAGAAGCTTTGCTTCGCTTTACGACAGACATTTTTCATATCCAAAACTACATCAGCATATGGATCATATTTGAGGGTAGAATTTAGATGCAAGATTTCTAAAATGAGCGCGTTAAAAGCTTTCTAGTGTTCTATTTCGATGCTCCCGAGACGGTGACCAAAAACAAGTTCCTTTCTTCACGTCAGCTTCGACCAGGAGAACTTGATTTACCCTACATATTGGGAACTAATGTCAGCCGAATGTTTTTCCAGCAGTCGTTTGCATAACCCGCATTCACACGTAGTTTGAATTGACGGCTCTGTATAGATTTCACCAGTCAATTTACGAGTATGGTAAATCAGGCCACGGATTATTTGCGGCACTGTCCGACACATACCATGTTATATACAGCTTTACAGCAAAAAATCACAAGGCCAAAGGTATGAAAGAGTTATGTTGTCAAATTTCATATATATATATATATATTAGACACGGTGCGAGATGGAGGTTAAAGAGGCTTCATTTCACATCTATCAAGACAGCATTCGAGGGCAAATTTACCGATGCAACATATTTGTAACAGGGGCACCTTATATCGCTTCTGCCTTCCTACAACACTACGTTACAGTTCTATAGCATTAGTACATATCTAAAATGCTACAACGATGACCTATGATTCTTACAACAAGTTTTAAAGAAATATATACATGCTATAAATGCCCCTGTTACATTCATGTTGCACTGTGAAATCCGCCCTCTGTTGAAAGAATCTGCATATTTCCGGCTACTTCAATAAACATAAAGTGAAAACTCTTCAACTGCTAAAAGCTCCTTTTTTAAATTTCTAAAAATCCTTTTATCTTTAAGCTATTTTCGGTTATATACTAAATATTTTCAGTAGTTATGTGTGACGACAGCAAGCTAAACGTACGTCTCTCAGCCTTAAAATAGGATATGAAAAAGTGTTTGGGATGCTCACGTTAGATACACGCTAGTTAATGTAACGCGCATATCACACAATTTACATACACATACACTAGGATTTTTTAATTGTAGCTTTTTACTACAGAAAATGCAGCCTTGTTTAATATCAATCGTCGATGTCACCCTATTAATAATCTAATAAATAATAATCAGTATCTAAGACCACTGTGACTGTGATTTATTACATAGACGGGTTGCGATGAGCGCAAGGTAGTAGACGCTACCTAGAAAAGTGTTAGTAATAGTAAAGCGGTTAATTTTTGCCACCAGATAACTCAAGCGTTATTTGATTCATTTTACCGAGTACCTTTGAATAGTTAGCAGTTACCGAAACGGCCTAAAATATAATAGAGCGAGAACTAATATTAGAACAATCGTCGGCCGTTTCTTCATGTAACAATTCAACTTTGTCCGTTTCTTGATGACCTCGTTCCTCACGCTATGCCAGTATGTTAGAGCCAATATTAGCTAGCCCACAGCCAAAGTCCTGCCTCTCTCAGCTGGAGAATTCACACGCATAGTGCGCGCGCACTGGGACCCTGCACTGGGAGGTTGAAACGAGCGCCACCTGCAACAGCTACGTTCAGGTTGGTTCAGCAGCTTTCTAGGTAGGTTTGTAGGTAGCTTGTCGGATTCTAGGTGTTAGCTAAAGCCTATGGTGTTAAAAATGGGGGTCGATGAAACGAAGGGTAATGAAGAAGAAGGCGAGGAGAACGAAAAAAGGAAGAAGGGGGACGAAAGTGGCGATGAGTGTGGTTGGGACAGACCATTGCTGCTACTACCACTACTGTTAACCCTTATACGGGGGGCAACAAACAAGGAAACAACTCAAAGAAGTGGTGGCTGGTGTTTTTTTTTCAGGTCCTGTTGGGTTCTGCCGACGCGAGTCACGCCCCGCTAAGGCGAGCCACACACAGCTAGTTTGGCGTGCTTATTCCAACCAGCAAAATTTAATTAGCGCCAGCACGAATCCCACACACGACGATTGACCTTCTAATCTTTAATGTCTGAAACGTTGAAACAAGATGATCAGTATTTAGGATTCATTTCAACAGTTAATTTGGATTTTTGAGCTCAGAGTACCTGACTTGAGCGCCTCCATGAACGATCTGACGTGATCGCGTGCCGCGCGTCATCTTCATTGCAAAATGAATTCACAGACGTTTTAGTGTCCCATTGACGACTAAAGTCTAGCATGGTTTTCAGCCAGATACGCGTGCGTATACATACTTGCACAAATATCTAAACATATATACATACGGCTATCTAGCTATGTCATATCTGACCAGTTCGTTACCTTCGGCGGCAAAACGGAACCTATGACCTGCTTTTATATTTCGTGTTGTCTGGATGTGTCAGGGCCGGTAGATCAGCTTGGTGTCAATGAATGGCACTTTCTCCTATGAAACATAAAAGCAGAGATATTATTTAGTAAAAGAAAGTCTTAATGAAGAGTTCAACAAAAGTTCGGCTATGGTTAAGAGATGTTTCCCTACATCGCATTTTGGGATTCGTAGAAATCTAAGGAAATTGCTCAGAGGTAATAGATCGACTTATGCCAATTAAAATAGATATGTTAACATAGAACATAAACTACATGTTTCAAATCCCAAACCCACCCGTTAGCCAACTTGCTGAGGATCAATGACTATTTTGATACCTCTCCATCTATACTATATCGAATCTAAAATAACAGTATTACCTTTATTCATAGAAAAAAGACTATCTACGCCGATAAGGTTGGCGTCGACGACTGAAACCCGGAATGCCGAATTTAGGGCGACCCTAACCTGTCAATGGCCGTAGGTATGACAATAAATATAAACATTAGGCAACAAGAGCACCCGCGAAGAAGGATTATGAGAAACGCTGTTTATCCTATCATTATTACTGTTCAGGTTAACTGTAATCTGGTTAGAAGAGATCAAAACAAGCATTAAGCAGTTTTGTCTTTGTGCAGACAGAAGGGTCGCGGGTTCAAGATTAGACACCACCGCCTATATACCATAGTTTACTTTATTGTAGAAAAAAAACGAGTACAAAATAACGATTAACTTCTATAAGTTTATGTCCCTGTGTATTGCTGAATTGCCATCGTTAATGCACACCGAAACATACGATTCTACATGCATTTTAGCACTACGGCAGTACGTTGCTGCAAAGGAATATAAAATGACACATTCAGTAGAGCAAAAAACACCTCAGACCTCAGTGCAACTTCAATATATACCCAACTTCTTGACATTTCACGGAAGAAGTCTGTCAAGTTGTTTGGCTTGCCATGATTGGAGTTGTTCATTCCAAACTGTCGATCCTGTATCTTCGTACCCATCAGCATCGCATGGCGTGTCAACATGCCGAGCTAATCATAGTATATAATACAAGGACACGTCGTCGCACACTACTCCAACTTATGTAGTAGATAGACCGGTAAAATGGCTTAAGCAAACTTTCAAAATAGCAGATCATCGTTACAAACAATGGATTTCCCGCCGAACATACGACGCGCACCTACAGCGAGTGGACTGAACGTTATATATACCGTTCTGCAAAAAGTTTACTATCGCAAGCTTCTGAAAGGTGTATTATGTTTATAGAGATATCTTCGAAAACTGATATTATGATCGGGATTGTTTTTTGCAAAGTTAAGTTATAAACAGATAATGAGAATGTTCGTTTCGGACGTCTTTAGGTGGCTAGCGTAGCTGTTATATGAACTCTTCCAAAAAACTGAAACGTATGGTTTCAACGTGAACCAGAGCTTTCGTAAAGCAACGTACTGAGAACGTAGAGAAAATATCTGTTTTATTATGGAGCTCTTTTCGCATTTTTCCGGCAAAACGTTGTTGCTGGTGCTGTTGTGACTTGTGCTCATATTCATGGTAGGCATAGTGGCGCCAACATCGCGAAATGCCTTAGGATATTTTCGTACACCGACTGCTGCCAAGAAGGCGCTGTGCCTCGTCTGACGTATGCTAATACGCAAAATGCAATTTAGGTAGAACAGCTCAAGCGAAAATTTTCATTGCGCCTGCATTGTTTGAAAAACGAGACGGGAACGCTTTGGGGAAATAATGTTACTTATCATATACAATTTTAAAGGTAACAACAATTATAGAACGATAAAATTCAAATTTTCAATTTATTTAAAAATGCTCTTTTTCTAGTTTTCAGGTTGCACCGTACTGTTAGATAGGGCCGATGTCAAATGTAGGAAAAGACCAGAAGCATTCAGTAAATAAAACTTCCTCAAACACCGAAGTCTCGAAATGATCCAGTGTTCCTTACTAGAAGAGGAAAACTTGGCTTGCCTCGGGTCGTGCCAACATTTTCGCTATATGTTTTTCTATTAATAGAACTTTTACGCGTTTTTAACATCAAGCCTACTTTACCACAGTTCGGGGGGCAGTTCCCGCCCTCTGCTAAACGTTGAGTACATTTCAAAGCGACGTTTTACTATCTTGGGTCCATTTCGACAAGAACATTTAAAAGGAACATTTTTTTTTCATAGTGAGTTGAGCCAACGCGATTATAAGATCTTATCAAACTTCTGTTTTTTTATTATTTTCTAAATGTATTTGCTTCTAGACTTGTCCAATCCACAGGGGAACACTTTTTAATAATAACGTTTTTCCCTATCATTTGATCAATCCACCAATTAAAAATCGCATTTAATGCAGTTAAAAAGCCATTGGAAGTCGCAATGGGTACATTGCTACGTTATAGTTAAACAACTAAAACTTTGGTGGTAAGCAGGTCGCGAGGGTATGGAATTTAGAGGAAGGGCTAATAGGGAATAATGAGGTAACAAATAATAGTTTGTGATTTCTATTTTAAATTATTCTTTGAATAAGATAGTCAAAACAAAAACAAAAAACACCGGCAGGCAGGCAGGCAGGCCGGTCCTTCCTTCACAGGTCTTGTTCGTAATCGGGAATAATTATATCTTAACCCAATAATAACTCAGCCTATGGAATAAGCTAGGAGTCGTATCTTCTTTAAAGGAGAGGATGATATTGGCAACTTTTTATTTTCTAGCAATTTTCGTTGTTACCAAATTCGCCAGTATAAGATTGCATTAACTTGCATGTCCCGAACCAGACTCGTACCCGAGACTCTTTGGCTTCCAACTTCACGGCGCTACCGCCTGCCCCACCCCAACGTTCGCTTTGAACTCCAAAGCGTTCGTACAGAACTGAGGGTTCGGTTATGTACAATGTCTCATACCATTACGTATAGATATAATAGACCAAGATGCACGTTGATTTGTAAGGCGGCTGGTTATAAGCACCATAGGAGAAAAATGCCACTGAACTAGACGCAGACACTCCTGGCGTGGAGAAAACTTATTGGAATTAAGCAACGACTACTCGGTAAATAAAAACATTTAAATCAATTCAAATCTTGCACTGCCAATTTCAAAACGGATTCCGGAACCGGAAATGGCAGCTTTTGGTGTCTGATATTTAAGGTACCTTTGCGGTGACCGAAAGTGTTTCAAGTTGAGTACTTAGCGATATATTGACTAAACAGCAGCGAGTTCGGGAACTCGGTTAACACTATCATTGTTCCTTAAATCATGGTTAGTTTAACGCTGATAGCAGCTCGCATTGATGCCCGATTTAGCACTCTGAAGCGTCCGATAGTAAAATAAGTGAATTGAACCTTCCTGAGACGGTTAGAGAGCAAAAATGGGAGTCGTCGAGAGCACGATAAGCATGTAATTCTAGCTGTTATTGATACTGGCTTATCAAAGCTTTAGCCTATATATGTGCATTGATACGCCTTCAATATTGTTTCATTTATATCTAATAAAAGTTGTAAAGAAGAATTAAACGTATTAAAGAGAAAATTTCCAAGCACTTTCAAACGCTATAAAAACATCTAAAAATATAATTATATAGTCAATCAGCTTGCAATGCAAAACGTTGTGTGAGCCTGTCCTACTAGAAATAAGCCATTACCTAAATTCAAACTGACAATCTTGTTACTGCTGCTACTTTAGGCAACCCATCCGTTACACAGGCATATTTCCGATGTTTTGCAGTAGTCTTTAGACCAAACTATGTTCGTCTTCTCGGCCAAAAATGGATCGTTAGAGGGGCCTCTGATCGCAGTCAAACAGATTTCGGGCTGCTGAATAGTACAAATATATAGAATAGGTACATTTTTCAGTTATCCAGATAAGTCACTTATGACGTTCGGTCCTTTTTGAGAGAAAGGCGTTTGCAACTATGTGGGCACAGCAGGCATTTCTCAAGTCTATTCATAGGCTGTCAATATAAAACAGAGACAAGTTTATTCTACAGCATAATGTTACACAAGTGATATTTAGTGTGACGTTCGACAGAACGAAGAGATGTTTGTTTTGCATAAGCACAGCGAGATCCTATAAACAGAAATGTTTCAACAAGGTAGCTTCTGTCGGGCGCCTCAGAACATACAAATAATGTTCTTATTTGTTAGACAGCATGATCGTATGATATTACGTGAGTGTTGATTGAAATATAAATGTTGCAGCTTTATCTTCGTGTCCAAACAAGACTAATTATCAGATGATGGTTTATGGTCTTAGAACGGTTTGATCAGATCGGCCATATTGTACGTTAGATTTAAACGTGGCGCGATTTGGGTTTGCATTTTGCGAAGGGCAGACCTTGCGTCTGACGCCTGGTGCAATATGTTTCATTGCAGAACCAAATCACTACCAGTAGCCACTGGTGAAACGTTCTAGTAGTAGTTGTCAATAGTTCTACCTAGAAATTTAGGTTTGCCGATTATTATTATGCTTTTTCATGATGCAATGATTAGCATTGATATTGTAGTAGAGCTTCTAAACCCGTATGCCACCACCGGGGCTGAGCTTCAATTTGTAATTTCGAAATACTTCCGAAACCTGCAGAGACGACGCGAAGCGTTTCTGCGGCTAATAATGACGCTATATACAGAAACGACTACAGATCACGAATAATCTTGGCACTGCGTCTATCTGCACTTTTATGCAATAGGCGCCCGTGTATAATATACACGTACGGGCGATTGCGCTTGCCCTAATACATACCCTTACGCTCGATGTCAGTGCATATTTTTTTCTTTATGAAAAAGGCTGAATCTGTGCCACTATCCGCATAATTGCCTTCACTAAAAGCGCATTAAGGGTTGATGAATTTGGTCTAATGACGAAATTTTCAACGAGTGACGAAACGTCCCGATCGGCACAGCTCCAAATATGTAATAACGTTCGACAGTCGCTGCTGGCATGAACCATACGATAGAATGCTAGAGTAAAACATAGGGAAATAAGGCTAACTTTAGTAGTAACCATAGACCACTACCAGATCTACCAGTTGAGCAATGAGTGACGGCATATATATATGTATATTGGAAAAATAAGAGAGGTATGTAGAGTTCGTACATTGGGTAAGGTCAGTCACATCGAGTATCGCACCCTATGCCTTAAGTGTTCTTGCCTTTTAGGCTGTTTTAATGAACTATAGCAGTATGGAGTAAATATTCTAGATGACGATAAATTTTTTTACAGCATATTTCTTACGACAACTGAGTTAAGATAATATCCTCTATTGCATTCCATATGTTCGCAGCAGGCTGATTAAACTTGTGTACTATCTCTGTGAAGTAAAAATCCGGACTAGATCTACTTTTTTCTAATTATCGATTCCATTCAAAACGAAGCGGCTCGTTTTCCTATACAACGACCAATTGTAGGAAGATGTGTCAGTTTTTTCGCTTACCCTGTAATAAAACTGGTGAGCTTCGAAAAATAGTACGAGTTCCTGCTAGTTCGCGCTGACTCTCGTTGACCCGTCCACGTTAAACATTTACGCAGAGGCTGCGCGCTCCGCGAAAATGACGAGGTTAGCGGCCACCAGTTTTGCAATCATATGTTAGATTAGAGGCAAAGCTGTAGGAATACCAATTTTATTAAACTAATTTCAGATTGTGCGGGGGTATCCCCCACGAATCGACAGCTTGTATAATGACACGCCACATTCTCCTGCGCTCTAGGAAGTCAAAGTAGAAATACGTACCGAAGCTGCTTTCTAAATCTCTGTTCACTAGGCGAATCACATGGCGCCACATAGTGGCTTAATATGAGAGCAGCTAGCTGCTCCATGAGCCGACCTACCGAACTGTACCATGCTTCAGTTCCTGATGGAAAACGAAGCAGTTCCCTCTCATTTCCCTATCAAGTGACCTTCGCAGAAAAGGTCGGAATAAGAGTGCCCCGAAAGGGCTCAACCGTCGAATTGACCTGGCTCGCACTCATACAAGGTGCTTTCTATTCAGATTCAGATAACCCTCACACTGCTTAATCTATAATTGTCGTTGTGAGCAACGGCAGCTGTGTAACACAAAAAGCGAATAGCTTGACAATTCTTATTGAAGCAGAGAGACTTTGGCCGATATCTGTTGCAGGCGCTGACGGTGACTACAGGCCTTACACTCCAAGCGAAGACTAAATATGACAGAAGTATAAACTCGTGATAGGAGAGAAGTGAGCCCGAATCGTGATTAGATATCTTTTACAATTAATTCATAGCAGCGGCTAAGCTATGGCCAGAAGTCAGAAACGAATGGAGCTGCTCACACGATAGGACATGAACGAGTACATCCATAAAAGGCTCCAAATTTTACATCCACTAAAAACGAGTACTTGTCACCGTATCTGATATAACAATTGAATCGATACACACTTACCAGCTTGTTATTATTGACTAGCTTGGCAAGCGTATTACTGCGACATGGGTAAAGGATAGAGTGGGGCTGGTCTACTGAGTTGTTGTTAGGTGACGCCCCTGCTGTTTTCCGCGTCAGGATAGGTTGTATTTCCCAACGAACCAGCTTGATATGTGCTCGTTTCCCTTCGCACGAACTTGCCGCTTATCTAACCTATTGCACAATACATCTCTATAGATTTGTAGGCTAGCCTTTTAAGACATGCATAGCCGTAGATCGTTCTGCCAGCTCGAACCTGCCAGACGTTGTCTGGAAGGCTCCGTTACCACCATCTGATAACATAGAGAATATTCACTTGTCCGAACACATAAATAATGCAATCCTTGGTCTGGTGCACGCTAATCAATTGGATCTTCTATGTCCATCTCTCGCTATTCCGGATCGCTTGACAGTTATCTTCCAGATTCATTACTTAAGTTTTGACCTTCTTAAATTCTCTACATTCAACCTCCCCGAGGCCGACCACTAAGGGGTGGGTGTGAGACTACCCAATATTAACTACAATCTGTCCTTTAAGCCTATTACAGAAATGGAAGAACGTTTTCTTAGGTACATATTTAATTGTAGCTTTTAGTTTGAATTGCATGAGCGGAAGTGCGCCTTCGGCTAGGCGTCGTGTTGATCGCTTACATTGCTTAGTAATTTCCCAACTGTGAGTGCTAATAATCATAGGGGACTATTTCTGCGCCATAATCTAAGATCAGTTCAAGCGAAACTCGGTTCATTTTTTATAACGTTTTATGAAAAAAAAAATTCGACAATCAATAGCACTTGTTCCGCTTTCCCAACGATCGGTCAAACTTGCTCGAGGGTACTACTTTTCTTACAGCCGACGATTTTCTGACGATCGTCAAACTGCTCACAAACAATCTAAGCCCCCTGCCTTACTACGACAAATGGAATTCTGTCAAGCTTCCGCAGGCCTGAACGAAACAGGTTTTATAATTTGGTTAGTCTTGAAAGATGCGACGAGACTTGACCAGATACTTATGAATAAGGCGACTACAAGAAACAGGTTGGTGTTAATGAGGATAGTAGGGTTAGCGTTTGGAGAAAAGGTGATATCATTAGTGCACGGGAAGGGGTTATCTTCTCTATCGATCGTGTTTATGTAACGATAATCGAACACGATTTAGCAGATCTCACTGTCCGTCAGCTGTCCTCGTTAGGACTAAATTGTTACAGGCACACTTACTAAACACATGTTTACTTAATTCGGGATGCTAACGTATAATGAATGTGAAGATAAATAGATGTGCTTGATGGAAACGTATAAAATAGATACATGATGTCCCACTGAACCTAAACGACTTAATTTTACTAAATATAGGTGATGCCAATGCACTTGGACAATGAAGCGGTACACAGTGCCAGGGCAAATTCCAGTAGAAGGAGGAGCAAAAGTGGTCATATGCTCAAATATATATATGTAATGAACGACGGGTTCTTATGTCGTTAGTTTTCATTTGAATGGTTATGTCAGCAAGAGAAATTGTGATATTTAGAAAAATTCTATTCATCCAATATGGCAGGTTTTACAGATTACTTCAGTTTTCATTGGCTTGAGAGATCATTCAGTTGAAACTGGGCTTTACTCGTAAAGTAAAAGGGCTCGGCGTGAGAATGAAGCTAAATTAAGTTCATTATTTTTTATACATGCATGTAAGTTTTTCTAGGACATTGGAATTAACTTAATTTGACCGTGTATGGAAAATGGGTGAATTTAGGATGTGTGTTCTTTTTATTGGTATTTATCTATTTTATTAGTAAATTGGTAGATTAACTTCTTTATTCTTCTAATGGTAGTTTCACCCTCAATTTATGTCTGAAGGCAGCACGTAAGTAGCGCGTAGATTTTAACATATAATGCTATAGTAGAATATCTCTATTCAGAGCAGCAACGTATAGTTGCTGATCTCAGAATTTTCTATAGTGTGCACTTCGTCGCAGACCTTGCGTCCTCATCGACAGCCCTTTGAACGTGCAATAAAGTGAACGTGCTAAGAGATTGCACACTTAAAAAAAACGCGCGGTAAAAGCGTAGCCGAGAGTTCAAGTTATGTCTTGCTATTATTAACTTAAACTAAATTTTACATTTAGGATTTTCGGAAACTACAATGTATAAGCTAGACGAGGGTGTGCGCCTGAGTATAAACGCTGTAGAGGTAACAAGTCAGTGTCCTCGAGAGAAGCTCCTAAACAGGGCAAGCATATCGCGGTGAATTATTTGTAATCTCATGTCAAGCTATTGGTCCACTGAGGACGTTGCCATAGTTGCGAAGGCTTATGCAAGCGCACAACCCGTGCGCCAAATTGGTAACTGAAAATCATATTATAGAACCCATTGATCAATGAAAGGTAAATGACGTTGAATTATGCAAGCTGAAATGATTTTTCATAAGATCAACTGAAGGACTTCAAGCAGTAGACCTTACACGTGTATATATATATATATATATATGTGGGATTAAATGAAGCTTTCAAATGTCGTAATTGGATTGTCATTCTTGTATACCTTAAAAGCTTCCAAGATAACGAAAAGGCCTTGGTTTAATGTCTAACGATTCTTTCAGACACAAGACTGACGGCAAACTCAAAGGAGGCACAATTGTTTTGAGGTCTTTAAAATAAATACTCTAATTAATATTAAAACCTGAGATTGATTGAGCGTACCATGAAAATATTTTATTTATATCACACTAACTTATATCCATAGCTTAAACTTGATAAACTATCTCGATCAGTTTTTTCAGCTGTCTTATGCTTGCAAAGTTGAGATCTGTGTCAAGTAAGATGGAAGTGTTTTTTGCTTGTTGCTATCCTTCGTAAGAGGCCACAGGACCTCGTAGAAACATTTCTTCCTCTTTGCTTCCTCCTTCTCCATTAATCAACGTTACCCCTCCCCCCTCATGCTAGCTCTTCCATTTCCAACGACGACTCAAGTCTATTTCGTCTCCTACTCCAGTACACCTTACTCGACTTTTTCCTTAGTCAAGGAACAACGGCACCGGGACAGTCACTACCTCTATAACAACAACTAGTGTCATCGGGTCACAACTTGGCAACAACAATGGCATGACAGCACGTAGCGATCTGTGTATTAGGTAGGCGGGAGAGAGAACACAAACAAGGACAACACGACGCGAGTGACGATGAATGGAGTCCTTCTCATGCATTGAATCCATAGAAACGAACTAGCGCATCAGCAACAGCTAGGACAAAGAGCAACGTACAGCTAGAGAAAACCTTTGGGTCATGAGCAGCTGGCAGCTTAGAGGAAGACCACGCGACAAATGATAGGCCTTTTAGTGCCAAAGCGATGCAAGGAGTGGTGAAGTGACACAAACTTGATATCAATGAAGCTACACGGCATTTACAGAAACCAGACGCTTTGTAATATGTCGTAGGTTATGAAGATTTTATTCATAAATTACCATTGGCTAGGAGAAGATCCTTGAGCATAACATTTGAGGAACATAAAAATGCAAAATAGTTCCCTAGACGATACAACTAACGTGACTGTTAAAGATCCAGAACCAGCACAAACATAGATTACTCGTATAATTATCGCATCTGTAAACTGTGCCGATGATTCAAAATTACGGTGAACACCTAAAATTATGCAAGCGGTCCCTGAAAGAATCTACGATAGACACTGTTTTCCATGCATAGCCCAAATTGAAGCCTCAGAGCTGGGCTAACGGGAGACACGTCAAACTTATTCTTGTTTTCCGTTCAACTTTTCACGCACGCTATATATAACGACTTAATAAACCCTATCCATAGACAATTAAAACAGTGGTCGAGGAGAGCAAATCAAAGAAAACCAAATTCGGCGAAGGCCCAAGCAAAAGAGTTTCAGAGGTGGAATAAGTGGAAATAGCCATTTTTATTTTTTTCGTATTCGACCACGTCTCCTTAACTTTTGTCCAACAAAAACGCCCATGGTAAATTTCTTTTGAGGTTCGAATGTCAGACGTTCTGCTTTGGTTCTCTCTTCGTTAATGAACACCCTTGTGTCACAAAGCTCCAATTTAATTACAAAAGTGCCTATGTCAAACCTAGAGGTGTCAAAATTTTTTTGAGGATTGCTTGAATACAAGATCATTGACAATAAACTGATTCCTTTCTGACATTTCTGTTTAACCTATTTGAGCTCAATAAGATACATTTAAGAGCGGCGC